TCATGGCTCTTTTTACCCTGCTTAACAGCAACACTTCAGCCAGTCCCACTCTCCCTAATACTATGTTCTGGAGATTTTATGTCAGAGAAACATTTCAAGGAAAAAATCAGGTAATCGGAACCACAGACTGCCCCCTAGTGGGCTGTCAAAAACCCATAAAAATCATAATATACTCAAATGCTAGCAGATATGGAACTAACGAATATGTTTGCTTCCCTTTTCGACAAAGAGATCCATCATGCCTCAAGGAAGTTGATACCTATGGGGGCTGCCACTATTTCAATTCCTGTAAGTTGGAACGAGGATTCACTGGGGGATATCAGGGCATAACAGGACAGAAAAGACCCATCTACCTAAAGGATAATAACTATCTCTATGGGAACCATGACTATTCCCTAATATATGTTGCAGATCCATGGGACGATCGCTGGCTTATTGGAGTAATAGGAAAGTTCTACTCAGGTGCATTCTCTAGCTACCCTACAGCTGACTTTCATATTTCTCGACAGCTTTTACCTGCAGCTAAGTCTGTGCCAACTCATCATAATATTATTCTACAGGAAAAACAAACAGAGGACCAGATAAGATCAACTATGTCCTGGAGCCAATACATTCAATATGTTGCTAACTTTCTTCCCTTCACCACCCACCCTAATGCCTCTGCTTCTTTTGTGCATCCAGCAATAGACCTTTACTGACAGCAGTACCAGTTAATACCACCCTTCTTTACCCAGAAACAAAAAAAGATTTCACTGACTCTCATCTGATGGATATTCCCTTATTCGAACAACTGGCTAACTATCCAATTTGCATTTCCAGCAAGAGTAAGCCTACTCATTACAAATGCCTCACTAACATTACTCTCTCCAGAATAGCATGTGTCGCCCCTCTTTTCCTGTGGTGCAAAGGAAAAGCCCAATGCTGTGTTAACTCTTCTTTGTCCACCTTTTGTATACCGGTAATGATTACACCCCAGGTGTACCTATTCGAGGAAGAGGAAGCTGCCCTCCTCCTTCACAGCCGCCAGCGGAGAGAAATCCTCATCCCTTTCCTAGTAGGGCTCGGACTTGCCCTCTCCCTGGGTTCTGGAGGCGCTGCGACTGCTGCTATTGTACAAACCCATCACCTGGCAGGAGACTTTCGAGACAAGCTGGAAGAGGCAATGGCATCCAGACTGACAGCCTCGAATCTCTCCAACAACAAATGAACTCTCTTGCCAGGGTGCTCCAAAACAGAAGAGCACTGGACTTAATAACTACTGAACATGGGGGGAAGAGTGTAGTATTGGGAGAGGAATGCTGTTTTTTTGAAAATGAATCAAATGTTGTTGAAACCAATGTTAACACTCTCAAAAAACTTCGTAATGATCTATTTTCAAGATTTCAACCCACCGAACAATTAGGTTGGTTTAGTAATCCCTCGTTTTCATGGCTTTGTTAGCCCCCTGATCATGCTGTGTCATTTTGATGCTTGCTCCCTGTTTCATACGATTTCTTCGCCGACAAATTACTACCATTGCTAAAATTACTACCAAACAGGTCATGGTCAATTATCAAACTTTGGATTCTCCTGAGATAGATGAGTTGGCTCTTAAGGCTTGTGATGACACTTCTCCATTGTAAAACAAAACAGGGGGAGATGTTGGGGAACCCTGCTGCTAGGGTTGTAGTCCTCCATGTCCAGATAGCTCTAAGG